GGCGCTGCCCCGGACCCGCCAAGGGGCGCTGCCCCCTGGACCCCCGCGAGCTGACCGGGCAGCTCGATCCCCGTCATAATCAGCGAAGTGGCAATCTTGAACGCTTTATCAACACAAACTTCTCTGAAAAGCACAATTCGGGTTGGATTCGCATCTAACAACTCATAGCCTCACTGAAATAAAAATGCGAATAAAATTACAACTCAAAGGAGTTTTGTCAAACGGGAATGCCAAGAAATAAAACCTAACAGTTCTCGTATACCAATACTTCAATTGGCGGAGGGACTTCTTATTAGTGACAATCTGTTGTGTGAAATTGATGGAGTTCCAATTGGTTATGAATATTGCAAAGTCTTTGTCTTAAAAGCGAAAAAGCCGAACAATCGTTTGGAAACACCATCCTGATGTCTAAAAATAGTTGGAGAAGCTATTGGAAGGTACATTGTGTGGCGCTCGATTTATGTATATGTTACAATTTTATTTATTTATTTATTTTTTGAAATAAATATCAAATGTTTTACATTTTCTGTAAACTTGAAATTAATTATATTGTAATATATATATATATATATATATATATATATATGTTTTTTTTTGTGTTTCTTTTTGCAGATACAACCCTTTTGAGTACGTAATGATATCTTTGCATATTGATATTAGAGCTTACAATCTTATTTATTTATTTAATTATTAAAATAAATATCAAATGTTTTATATTTTTTGTAAGCTTGAAATCAATTATATTATAAATGATTTTTTTTTTTGTTTCTTTTATCAAACATTATTAATATTGTTAGAGGATATTTTATATATTTTTGTAAAGAATGTTTGGTTAACACTGTGTTACAGGGTATATATATATATTATTATTTATATGATGTTGTAAATGTATATGTGTGTGGATGTAGATGTATTTTATTTTATAAAATATTAATAATTTGTACAAGGAATAAATTAATAAAATATATATTTATTTTATGAAAATAAATTTATTGTGACAATAATAATCTGTCGCTAATGTAATCATTATTTTCTTGCATTTTATTAGCGACGAGTTAACTTGTCGCATATACATCTTTGTTCAAATCCTTTGCGATGGTTTAAACTGTAGCGAATATAGTTTTAATTTAATTCTATTTTTTTGGTGGCGTTTTAGATCATCTCTAATAATACTTTTCGCGACATCATACACCATGTCACGCCCCGAAAATAATCTCCCGTAACTATTACATCAACCCTCTTCAAAATGAGATATTAACCAAATTCATTTACATAGTTCCAAATGTTTACCAAAATATTCACACATGCCAGTATACATTTATTTACAGACTAGTACATATCTAGAGCATGTAAAAGAAATCGTTGAATCACAACAAATAAGGCCCTCAAGGGCTTGCAAGTTCCAAGGCAACAGCCCGATTACACATAATGGTCTCTCGGACCCAAACACATTAGCCCCTAGCTTACAAAAGATATCACAATAAAATAAGAGTCAAACTACTCTTCTTCAAAGTATCTCCACGCCCTTAACTTGGCGGGGTCACCACATCTTTACCTACACCAATTCCCATAAGGGTGAGCATAAAGCCCAGTAGAGATTCCTCACAAAGTATATACAGTTATGCCAATTCCATCAACGTAAAAAGAAATGCACATGTAATGCCATGCAAGTGCCAATGATGAAGGAGAATTTTATTTCAATGCACTATTTCAAAATCAACATGTTCTCAATAGTATTTTGTAATCTCATCAATTTCAAACTTCCAATATTTAAATCAACAGGGGTGGTAAATACGACACTGGTAATCCCTAGGCTGGTGTCTGCAAGTAGACTCTACGAGTACTACCAAACTACCATTTTTACCGGTATTAACCGGAAGGCTCGACATCTATCCGCGCGGCTTTCGGGTCTTTCACCCTGGACACTCAAGCCAACTTATCAAATTCATCGACACCCCATATCCGGACTTACCAACGTATTTACCCTATACACATTTTCATTAGTTCTCATTACAATGATCTTTCTCAAAATGAATGTTTTTCCAACTCATGTTATGATGTGCAATAATGACATTAAAACAATTGAGAATATGATGCAATAACTACTAACTCATAGCATTCTTTTATATTAAAAAACATGTCTACAACAATATTCAACATCACATTTTCATTTCCTCCTTACCATGTTCTTCCACAAGATACCCATACGTCTCCAACGCATAATTAGAATTTCTCATTACACGCAATAGTCATGTGTCTTCGACACACCACAACAATTCCTCAACATTAATTCATCACGACCAAACTTTCAATATGGCTAACATGCCATCATTCATTTCACTTTTCCATTACACTACGATTAAGCATTTTCACATCACTTATGGCACTCAACAACTTCCCATCTTACCACTTTACACAAGTATACAATTATCAATGGATTTTAAAAGTGGACTTAGTCTCCAACACATATATACATCATGAAGTTGCTATTTTGTTAGACATTTGGTGAGACTAACTCTCATACTTCCTTATATATATATCATGAAGTTGTTATTTTGTTAGACATTGGGTGAGACTAACTCTCATACTTCCTCTTGATACAAGAAAATAAATAATTTCAAGGCATCTTTATTATTTTTCAAAAAGCCCCAATTTCTAGGGTTTCCATTGAAAGCAAAATTTCATCATTTTCTAAGAGAAATTCCATCATAATAATTCATCATGAGTTTAATAGAGGGAAACCCCCAAGAAGTTGTAAAAAGATAGAGATTTCAAACCCATATTCAAAACTCTCAACATTTTGAACCAAAATCTAAAATTTAGCACAAAACTTCAAGAACATTTTTAAATCAACACCCAAATAGCAAAACTATATATATAACTCAAGAAATCCCTACCTCAAAGCCTTTGAGAAGATGGAAAAGAGAAACCCTAGCTTAGATGGATGAGAGAGCTTTGATTTCTACCCACCAAGTGAAGCCCTAGCCTTGGATCTTCAAGATTCGAGGGAAAATGTTGATGATCTTGCTCCAAGAATCACAAGAATCAAAGAGTTTTGGGTGATTGAGGTGTTTTCTAGAGAGAAGGAGGAGAGAAATTAGGTTTAGAATGAGAGAAAAATGAGTTAGAGGTGATATATATTCGGACCAAAATGTTATAAGAAAACAGGGCACGGACTGCCCAGTTGGCCACTCGTGCGGCCTTCTCCACCGCTCGAGCGCCCCACCTTGACAGCTCATGCGGTCCATTTTCTCCGCTCGTGCGCTCCAGGCAGAATCGAATTTTCTGGGTCTAAGCCTCCACTGCTCGAGTAGCCTAGCCCACCGCTCGTGCGGTCCATACCCGCACGTGCGGCCTAAGCCCAGCCATCAAAAATTTCTGCTTCACTCCCGGCACTCTGGACTCACCCATACGCCCTTCGGAACAAGCGAAATTCAACACCGACAAAAACAAGAACTAGAATTTTAACCTGGGGAACCATTTCCAGATGCTTCAAACCCAACGAAGGCAATTGGAGAACGAAGCAAAGAAAGAAAGAGAAAGGAAAGGAACCCGGCCGTCACACACCGTCTCTAAAAAGTTTTTGGTGATGGCAACCTAAACCGTCACTAAAAGTGAAGTTTTTTTTTTTCTCTCTTGTTCGTGTCAAATTACACTGTCACAAAAATCATTGATTTGTTGTTGCTACAAGAAAGTGGCGGTTTGTAACCGTCGTAAATATTTTTTGTCACGCCCCCTTCTGCCACCACCCATTTTCCATCGCTATTCCGTTGCAAAAAGTTTTTTGCAATAGCATGTGCACCTTTTGTGACATTTACAACTGTCGCAAAAGTTTTGATTTTTAGCAGTGAAAGTTAGGCTCACTTTTTAAATCCAATGATCCATCTCTTTTACACACCATGGAGTCTTAAAGTGAGTCTAGAAAGTAGTTTTTTATATCATTTTTCTATACACAAATATATGCATATTAAAAGAAACCCACGTGTCTAAGAGAAAAATGTTATATTTTCTTTCTTTCTTTGTTATTATATAAGAATTAATTTTATTTTTTAATCAAGTGTCCAAACTAGGTTGTGCAACTCCAAGTTTAATAACCAGATAAACCTCCAGTGGCCCATTGGTGTGAACCCAACTCGAGAACATGAATTTTATCCTTAAGTTTTTACCGTTTGGCCAATCCCTTGGGATTATAAAAAAAATCTGTTTGTATATAACATTTGAGAAACGCTATGTAATTATGTATTACTTGTTTTTTGTTACTCTTTTGTATCATCACCTATGTGGATACTTGTGATTGTTTTTGTGTTTGGAAACAATCATTAAGGAAATACTGAAGACAAATAATATAGTATCATATCTGTGATATAAAAGAGTGGGAAAAAAAGAAGAAGAAAAGACTGATATAAAGCAGCCTTCATAACATTTACTCTATGTATACATGCTCAACCTAGATCGGCTAACAAATATTGAATGCTATCTTGACATCATTCTAAGAAAATTATTAAACATCACTGCAGGAAATTCAGCTTTTAGCGGCGTTTAAAAAACGCCGCTATAGGTGTCAAAAACGCCGTTAATTCTTTTTGTGGCGCTTAGCATCAAACGTCGAAGCTGCGGCCGTCGCTATAGCATTGGGGCGCTTTAAAAACGTCATTAAATGGTTATAGGCGGCGTTTTAAAAAACGGAACGCCGCTAAATGTGATACATAACGTTAAACTGACGTCATGACTGTTTTTAGCGACATTTTAAAAACGTCGTCATTGCTTTTTTTTGGATTTTAAAAATATAACCCGTGACTGTATAGTGGCATTTTCAAAAATGCCATTATATCTTTATTTTTTTAATTTATTTTTTTTTAAATTGTGCTAATTCTTTGTGATTGAACCAAAAAATACCTGTAATAAAATTGAAAATTAGTACTAATATGAGTCAATAATTCCGTTCCCATTCAAATGAACATTTGTCAAAAGATAAACCAATTATATGAAAAGCTGCCAAGTAGCAAATACAACATTAATTCACTTTCCCATTCAATTTAATATACAATTACCATTAACTACAAAATAACATATCCACAAATTATGTTTTAACATTCGCCAAAAAATAACAGGAAAAACATTAAGACAAACCCCATGAGTTTTGATTTAATTTAATGTCTTGTCCTTGATACTCAATTCACTTAACCCAGTTGATATAGCATAGAATCTGTAATCTTCACTGGTCTGGATTCCTGCATCAAAATATGGAAGCAAAATTAGATAAAGTGCATAAATCAATAATGGTAGAAGTGTTACAGCTATAAAACATAAGATGTACATTACAACTCACCATCTATTGAAGAAGGTTTTGTACCTGGAAGAACAATTTAAATAAATTAGTCATTTCTGAGGCTTTGAAATTGCAGAAAAAGTCAGAAAAAAAATATTTTAACATGCTTCTATCAGATAGTAATAAGTTTATAATAATTGTGACTTCACAAATCAGAATCTGTAATCTTCACTGGTCTTAGATACCAAGTGACTAGTAAACAAAACAAACTTAAGCTTTACTCATTAGCTGTTGGTAGCAACAATGAGAAACCTCTTTGTAATAGTCTAAAATCTAAAAAAAATCTAAAAACCAAAAAGAAACTAGTATTCCTCAATTATCAAACACATCTGCTAGTAGAAAAATATGTGGGAACATGGACACGCGTTTTCCAATTCATGGTCCAAACCATATGATTTGACAGAGCTTGTAAACAATCAATTTGAATCCTAATGTTTGAATCCAGAAAATTCATTATTCAGAGACCATCAAGTTGTGTTGATGAACCAAAAGATTCACAAACTTAACTCCTAAAAATTAGCTAGAACCATTTGCAATCTCTAGTTCCACAAAGCAGATTTTGACTCTACTAGTACTACTCTATTCCAAATACATGTCTAAACCAAATAAATAACTACTGATCACTCAATAGATTGACAAATATTTGCATCAAACCATAATAGTTGACACTTGCAATAACATAAATGGTGTTCGTCGAACTAGTCCAATTCTTAAGGACACTTGCAAGATAAATCAGGAATGATTTAATTTCAATTATCAGGATGATCTGAACTTGGTAATTTTGGTCTAGCATATTAAAGAGGACACAATTAAACTTTCATCTTAATGCATGTGCATAACTCATCTATCAAATGCACAGAAAATGCCAGCACTAATGGTATACAAACAAATTGTCAACTTTAAATGGAATCTCACAGAAATGAAAAGCTGCTGCATAGTATAAGACTGGAAGGTTTAGAGTTCAGATTGTATACTACCTGGAACCAATTGGGGTTCTCTGGGCTTTGCTGAGCAGCAAGAACTTCAACAAAATTGCTAAGTACAGAAATCAGATCCTCAAGTTGTGATATTTCCTTACCTCCAAACTTTTTAATAATGGCATGCCGAGGAACTCCAGCTCTAAAAAGCATATATCTGAAATTGGTAAGTACACAACTATTTCCAATGAGAGATTGTAACAGAAAATTCAAGGTGTTCTCTCTGCTCTAGATATCAAATGGTGACAACAGCCTCCCGTGTTGCCACAAATGACTTGTACTAAACACAGAAATTTAACCAATATATGCACAGCCAATGCAGTATGTAACAAGATTTGAATAAGAATAGAATTCAAGCATCAATCTAAATTCACATGATAAGGATAGACATACCCTGGTTCTGAAACATATACAAGGCCACAGTGGAAACGAAAATTTCTCGCCTGTCACCAAAAAAACAAGAGAAAACAAGTTAAAACATATTTACAACAATAAGCAGAGCAGGTTATCTTAACAGCAGATAAGCTACAACTAAAAAAACACTGGTATCCAACCGAAATTAAATAAAACATAATTATATTTTTTTCCCCTAGCATCAAATGAGAGAATATGAAATAACTAACATAGAATGATATGCCTGAATGTATTAGAAATGAGATCACCTTGAAAAACTGTGATGGAATCAAGAATACCCTTCCCACCAGGGTAGGGAAATCATGTGCACCAAAAGCTACAAATTTGTGCAGGTCATGTTGCCAAAATGCAATGGTGCTCCAATCATTCATTTATTGTAATGACAAATGATGAAAACATTACACAAATATGTGCCTAGTTTTACGAGCTTAGAAACCATAAAATAAATGCAGTAGAAAAAATTAAATAGAAGGGATGAAATATATCTCTTTGTAATAGAAGAAAATAGATGAATAGGTAACATTTTCATATTAACCGAATATCTGAAGTTATAAAAGCAATGATAAAGATAAAAATTCAGAAAAGTGTAACACTTGTTAGCATACAAAAGCAACTTGAGGTGAAATCCTCAAATCTTGGGCCTTCAAGTTTAACAGAGGTCATGTAACGATTTTAGTAAAGAAAAATTAATAACATTTGTAGCAGAAAGTCCAAGCCATCCAGCAAATCTAACAATTAAATTCAGATATTTGAGTGGGAAAGTTCATGGTCACGATGAACTTTTGACTCTGTTCTTGTTATTGTTGTCAATGACCGGAAGTTCAATAACCAATTTAGTCTTCTCTATACTCAGAAATGCTGCTCAACTCAACTATCCCAATTTTTTGGTAATGCTTTTATATGCTCGGGCAATCAAAATATCTATCAACGATTCAACATTTCATTTTTTTTTGCGGCATTAAAGCAACCATTTTTACATCTGTTAATGAGGAACAAACATACTTTCTTATTTAATTTTCTTTCAATTTACAACAATTTCTTACATTAATTATATAATTCAGCAAAAGGGTAGTGTACAAACCGGAATTTTAGCTGGCAATGGGCAGTTTTTATAGGAATTTTCACAGCAAACATTTGTGACATCCTTAAGCACTGCCCTCCTTTATGCTGAACAGGTGCACAGCAGAAGCACTGCTATTCATCTCATCTAAAGCTGCTTTTTTGAACTTGTCCGTAAAACTTGCTGTTTGACCTTGGCCTGGCTTTCAAGTGCTTCTGAAGGTGGATCCTCTCAATAGATGCATGACAGCAGCAGCTCGAGATCGTGTCATTCTAACAGTAGGACTCCCAACTTAGCAAATAGCAAGATTTTTCCTCAATGTTTAACTCGGCCTTAGGGAACTCACGGGCTGCTAAAGAATTA